ATGCTTTTTTCTGTGCAAGTTAATTTCCAGCCAAAGAAGAATTTAACCCATTCTTGCTACTATCACCCTCCATTTCAACTGCCTATCAATCTCTTTGTTCAAAGAATACAGTTGACAGTAAACAATGACTTGCACAATTAGTCTATTGTGAAATTGTGTCCTCATTGACAAAGTTGTGGATTCGCTTTTCATATGCTGCATTTTGACAAACCCCATCGAGGTTCGTTTGATTGTGGAAGTCAAGCAAAGGGATATCTCAATTCGCTTGGCCCAAACAAGAAGGAATGAGGCAACGAGAGCTTATTTTTCCCATTAGGAATTGTCACGTTACCTATTCAGTAACACAATTAATGCCACGCTACAATGAACACTGTGTGATAATTGATTGTTGAGTTTCCACTCTCTCAACAACTTTGCTCACAATGCAACCTCTCTCACCACAAGAGCTACCTTAAGATTTCAGTCTCATGAAATTCCTTTGATCCACCTTGCATATCTTGTGCACTCCACAGTAAACCTTGTTCTCTCAATCTATTATTAGGCCAAAATAGCCACAGTCTTTGTGAGTTAACACTTGAGTTCTATATGCTTAATGAGAACTCTGTGTAGTCAGGTTTTTCAGATTCACACTCCAAGCTCCCTCTTCAATCGGTTAAATGTGCACATCATGCTTTGCTGTCGAAGGCATTTCCTTCAATCAGGAGAAAGGTAAACAGTTGAAATGGAGAATGGGAAGAGCAAGAATAGAAGAAGCGTTGATCGCACACATTTCATCGTCAAATGATCAACCAAAATGAGTCAACTCTAAGATTTCTTTCCTAGTATCATGAATTGTCTCCAGTTTGAATCGAAGAGTATTCAAAATTTTACTGTATTATTCCAGAACAGTATTGCGTCAATTACAAAAGTAGAATCACTTGGAGCCTTCAACCTGCAAGTCTCTTTATTGAACCTTTAATGAACAAGTGAAAGTTGACAGGAATACAGTTGTACTCAGAAAATTCACCGTTCGATTTGAGCTTGATTGATTCCTAAATTTAAACTAGAAATTCACTTAGAAATAATATCGTTTAAATCAACTTTTTTCAATTTAAAATAAAAAAATTGCAGCCAAATTGACGAAACAAATGTCCTAACGAATGGAAGAAAAGTAAACAAATCAATCATAACAAGAAGAAATAAATACGCACAAAGAGAGAGAAAGGATAATTCAGTACCACGGACATCTGAAAGATTTGTGTCTGGCTGTGTAGAATGGAGATTTGCATTCATCGGCATCAAGTGGAAGACGAATTTTGTGAATGACTTGTCCACTTCCATTCACCAGATATTCATCACATAGTTCAGAGTGCTGTTTTCTCCTCTCACGTTTGGGAACACGACATCGATGCACAAAGGGATATTTGTCCAACAGATTCGCACAATCCTCAACTACTACCTTAGCTCCACTCTCTGTGGCGTGTAACGAATGGTGAGATTTGCAACCTCGTTCCTTGTTACCGTAGTGGGCTTTCAAGTAACTAATAGGTCGTCTCGGTGACGGCAGCCACTGTTTTCCAAATGGCCGATATGTCAAGGCAAATATATCACTTAGGGCATATCTTGTAGGATAATCTCTGTAATTTTTGAATTTGTGGGGTTGGTACTCCTCATAGCAAAGAATGTCGATGAATGGCCATGCCCATGGATATTTGACAAAGGCATGACTGCCAATTGATTTGGGAGTGACATTTGTTGAGGCATTAAATGGAGCAAAGAAGAGTTTATCATGCCCAGCCCCTTTGTAAGTGAGGAATTTGGGAGCGAGTTTCTTCAGGGCAGCTTGATTCACTGGACAATATTTGACATCCAATCTAATGTCAGCATCGTCATCCCAAGGTATCAAATCGTGATGTCGGATAGATCCCAGAAGTGTTCCACCATCGACAAACCATTGACCGTCCAAATTGATATCTGCCATTGCCTTTTTGAATACTTCTATCAGAATCTCTAATGTTCGCTGTTGACCGACACTAATTTTCATTTCTAGAGGACCAAATTTTCTCACCTCCGCATTTGTGGAAACATTTGGTCTGGTAAAGTTGGGCCAGGTAATTAAACTGAGGTTGAATGTGTGATCGAAGGCAATTTCCTTTCTAGAAATTGCAGTTTTGTGTAATTTGGGCACAAGAATCAATGTCAAAATAATTACCAGAAGTAGCACAGACAAGTCACTGTGAGCTTTAATCTGAAAATATAAAGGTGGTTCTTATATCAATCAGTGTATCCTGCATTATATAAGCTACAACTTCGTAAGTGTCATTTCTGTTAGTTAGATTCATGCTATTTTCATCAGGATAAAACAAGTATAAAGTTAATATAAAATTTTAATAGCAAAACGTACCTCTGTAAACATTTCTTTCAATCAAACGCTGATGATTATGATGTGTTTATATATGGGTTGAAAGTTTGTGTAAGGTGCTTACTGGCTTACGCATTAACTAGTCAGTGGGTGAATGCTCTCACTACGAAACTTGTCAATGCATTGTGTTGTGATTAATGGAAATTATCAAATTCAGTCAATATTGGCAATTGGAGAAAGAAATGGTCAGTGAACCCTGATCAGAGAGTGACATTTTGGCCGTAAATAGGAGGTATCTATTTGAATCTTCACAACTGTATAAATTGCATAAAGCCCTTTTAAATCTACTTGATCCACTTACCTAGGACTGAAAATGATGATCTTCAATCTTTGATATGTAATGCGCTAGGGTTGAACGAACAACAACAAATTTAAGATCGCTTTCCAATTTTAATTTTTCAGTCAAAATTTGAAAAATTGATTTTAACTTCCTTTGGCATATATATATACATATATATATATATATATATATATGCTAAACTTGTTTAAACTTTGACTTCAGCTTCCCCCAAGGGCGGGAAGGGGGTACATTTATAGCAGTTAATTAATAGCAGCTCATTAGCCGTCTTCTTGCTTCCCAGTATCTAGGGCTTTCCGTCCTTGTCTTTAGAGCAGGACATCGAATCAGGTGGGTCTTCTCCACTTCCTCCTGTAGGTTACATAGGGGCCATGTGGGTGTCGTGTATACTCCTAAACTGTGAAGGTGTTTTGCCAAGAAATCATGACAGGTACGTAGTCTAAACTCAGCAACGGCTTCGATTCTTGGCCAGTCGGCTATGTCGGAGAGTGCCACTGTCCACTGTTTCTCCTTTGTTCGAGCTTTAAGTTCGTTGCACCTTGAGGTCTTGAATTCTCTCCTGATTAAGGCCTTCATTGTGTGGAAAGACATCGGGCGGTCCATGCATTGCAAAATCGTTGTCCCCTTCTTTGCAAGTGTGTCAGCAAGCTCATTGCCTTTAATGCCACAGTGACCAGGAATCCATTGTAGGTCCACTGTTTTGTTTTCCTCTCTCAGCAGCTCATAGAGTTTTCGACGTGTTTTGGGTGGCTCTCTGCTTCCAATTGAGTTTATTGCTGACTGTGAGCCCGAAAGTATCACCGATTTGGTGAATTACGTATCCAGGCAACATAATTGGCATAGTGCTATCCTAATGGCATCTATTTCTCCTTCAAATGCGGATCTTTTCTGTCTCGCTGCTGCGTAGAAAGAGAAGAGCTCGGAATAGACACCTGCACCAACGTTTACTTGGTTTTCAATGTATGATCTATCAATGAAGACTTGGAGGCATTGATCTGCAGGATAGTTGACATTGATAGTCTCAAGTGCCAGTGAGCGCATTTGCTCTGGAGAGTTGTTTGATTTCCTGAAGAAGTTAAGCAGTTATGTGCAACAAATTACATTAGTGTCTGCCTGTGGGTTCATGGGGAGTGAGAGGCATTTTGGTTTGTCATCGATTTGTAACGCTTTCTTCAGTTCTATGACTTTCCGTAATAGACCAGATTACGTTTTCAGATGTCTTGGTCTATTCTCATAGGTGCTGAAGAACTTATCCATGGGAATGCGCAGTAACTCCTCATACAAGATCGAGGCCTTTTCTTTGATAAGGGAACATATTGTGGTGCTTCCTCTAACTAGGAGCATTACATCAATGGGTGTTGATTTTATCTCTCCAGTAATTAGTCGTAATGCCTGGATGTGTGCCTTCTCGAGTGGTTTGAGAGTTACATCTGTGGCTGTAATGAGTGGCTCACAGCAATACAACATTATTGGCTGAATAAATATCTTGTAAGTGGAGTTGAGAGTTGAGCGTGCACAGCCCAACACACCTCCAGCAAGACGCTGTAGCACATTCAGTCTATTGTAGATTCGTTCTGCAATTTTAGCAATGCGACTATTAACCTTTGTGTCAAACGTCATTCCGATATATGTGAATTTATTGGTCTTTTCTAGGGTAGTATCCTTGTTCCTTAGATGCGGGTTTATGCTGTGACGGACAAATAAAATGTTTGGAATGCAGTTTTCGCGGTGTTGATAACCATTCCATTGTTGTCGCACCAGTTCGCTAGTAGTTTACGTGCACAATTTAGGGCACTTTCTGTCCTTTCCTGAGCGTTTTTCTTAGGGGCGGAATACCATAGTACCAGATCATCTGCGTAAATTAATCACTTGATGTCCGTGACTGTCTGTACCGATTCGGCTATGTCATTGATGAAGACATTGAAAAGAGTTCAGCTTGTGATAGCTCCTTGTGGAAGGCCTGTCTGTAAAAGATTGGATTTTGATAGAGCATTTCCATATCTGACTTTACATGATCTTTGTCCAATGAATGCTTTCATCCAATTTAGCATGTTATGCTTAATACCAATCTTTGTCAATTTTAGAATTAGCTT